CTTCTGATTGACAGATGGAGGCAATGTAGGCGCCTCTCGCTCGTTGCTCAACGAATCTCTGCTTGTAATCCTCATCACTCATGTCAATCAGGACAAGCTTGTCAGTTTGTCCCTTTTGAGTCGCTGTCATGGTCTCAGTCTGAAATTCTAGGCGGCATCCGTTAAAGTCGCCAGAAGAACCAGTATTAAACTGGGTCCGTGGTTTCGTCTTATAGCCTGCTTTCTTTGTCTTGTTTTCTTCCTTCTCCAGGAAGCCGGTAGTGCCAATGACAAAGGTGTCGTTAGTTTGAAGGGCTGTGATAGCGAAGTCGTTGCCTTTCTTCGTAATGAATAAATAAGGGTCGTAGGCGGATGTCTCTATCTCTAGTCTTTCCTTGTGGTGGGCGGAGTATGTGTCATACCAATGATTCCCAGCTTCTGCGATTCTGTACAGGAGTTTATCAACGCGAAGAATCGTACCTTCTGGATACTTCTTTTTTAATTTAATGGGCAGCTTGTATAAGACAAGACGATTCATCGGGTGTCGTGACTGCGTATAGGCCATAGTGATGTCTCGAGAGGCAGCAAGGCATCCTCGCTGTCGCAGAGACGGTGTCAATGCCATGGCCAGTCGCTGGCTGCATCGCATGATCGTCGGAGCTTGGGTCATGATATGGTGCTTCTCACAATCGTTGTATCCTTGGACGACGAGTCTGCTCTTCTCGTAAGGGCGGTCATTGACGCCTCTGACCGTGCGGACAAGGCGGGAGTTAAAAAGTCGGGGTATCGCCGTGAATCTTGCTGTCGAACAGAACGGGGACAAGCACTTGATCGGCAAATAAGGACTCAATCTCAAGGATATCGGATTGCTCGAAGGGTGCTCCGGGGGCTGTGATCCTGCCTTCAGTGCACAAGTTCAGGGCGAGGGCGTGATCAGCACGCTCCTTGTGCGAGAGGAAAATGCCATATTCATCTTGCTGGACGAAGGAGCCAGCAAAGTTCTCTTCTTCGCTTATAGTCGCAGTGGCCATATGTACCACGTATACTTTTTTGGGTTGGCCTCGCGGTCGTTTCGTACTTTGGACGGGTATAGGGAGCTTCGGAGGGCGGCCGCGACGACGGGGGAGTGTCGGTTCTGGATATTCGAACGGAACGGGGGTATCGTGGTTGTCGAGCTTGTCAGCATCGAGAATCGCGTCAGGGTGACGGTTATACGGCTTAACGTGCGTACGGTTGAAGAGGGTTGGTCCGTTAACCATCTCAACGGTCACTTCTCGGTCTGCAACCGATAGAACCTTATACGGGCCTTGATATTTGTCTTTTTCGCGATAGACAAGGACTTCACTGCCAATGGGAAGAGAGAGAGGCAGTATTGGGGTTGTATCAGGGCCGTTCCTTGTGTTTAGAGCACCTTGAACGTTTCGCTTGGCTCAGAGCTTACGTAGTTCGGTCATTGCTTTGGCCTGGGCCTGGGCACGTTGAAGCTGCGATAGTGTCAGGGGCGAATCCATCGTAACGCATGAATAGGCTCCAAAGACCAGGAGTGTTGGTACAAGACCATCAGGACCGGCGGTATCGTTTACGGCTTTTACTGCCATCTGCAGGGCAGCTTCTCGAGAGATCCCGGATGATTCGGCTCGGATGATCTCGTAAGAGCGTCGAATGGGGGTATGATACCGTTCAACCTTGCCAATCGACCAATGAGCTTCGACGGGAATCTGATGACAGGTGATTCCAAGCAATCGGGCTTCAGCGCGAAATTCTGTGGCTGCAAAGTTGGTACCGGCATCGTGCGTTAGGACATCTGGAGGGCCAAGATAGGTGTCAATCCAACATCGTTTCAGTGCTTCCCAGGTCTCCTTGGCAGATAGGTTGAGAAGGAATTGGGCTGTTTGGAAGGATGTAGCGGCGTCAACGCAGTGAAGAACGGGCTTGCTCTCCAGGTACATGACATCGACGATGACTTCGTAGTTGAAATCAACATCCTTCTTGAAAGAGAACTTGAACCGTTGTGGTGACGGGCCTTTGACCTGGCAGTGATGGCAAAACTTATTGATCATTGCAATAGCATCTCGATCAGTTTCGTTGCCAGATTTCTCCAGGAGCTTGTAAAGCTTGCCGACGGAAGGGTGTCCAAATCGGGTATGAACGCGTCGTAATTCAGCTTCTGTGAGGAAAACACCGGTTGATGCGGTTGTCATTGCTGAGGGGAAGAACCAGGGGTGGCCCCATTTGCGGGTGATTGGGATGGACTTGCCATCTCGTAGTCGGATCATCCTATTGGCAATATTGTCAAACATTACGCCAAGCTTGTCGGCTGGACTCAGTATAGATACATAGCGTGGTCACACCGGCCATATCAGGTCAGAGAGCCACGACGTTTGCATTCCATCCCCGTCGGCCTGCAGAGGAATGTCACTGTACCAAAGAACAGAGTCACAATGATTGATTGTGACGTTGAACGTGGGATCTAAGGATGGTCGCGTATGCGGCGTCTAAAGGCATGCAAAGCTGCATTATTTGCCAAACCGCCGGATCCCAGCCTGCATCACCTACTTGGCGGAATTGCCTTCCTTGCAGCCATCCTTGCAGCCATCCTCGCATGCATGAATACTGCGTCCCGTGACAGGGTATTCTATCCTTTTACCGTGTTGGTTCCGGGCTCCTAAACAATTGCAAAGCTGACGCCCCCATGCCAGTCGAGGAGCCTAGCACACCTAGTGTGATCTACGGTAAATGATTCTAACGTCGGACCGTTTCGCTCTGTCGGGTCCAATGGACATGTCACATTTATGGATTCAAGGCCGGAATGAGTCTAGTATTTGTCTCGTCATAGCCAGTGTCGATCGTGACAATTTAGTCCCTGATTTTCCACAAGGGAGGTAATATTGGCCCGACTGTATGCGGAGGCGTGGCGTGACCGAGCCAACGTCAAAGGCATTCCCCTGCCATGACCGAATATAGTATAAAGGCCGACAGATGTGGAGAGCAGGACCACTAGTGTCGGGTGTTCCGTAAGGTCGGGTCAGGACTTATATTGTTATTGGTCGGCCAGCAGTAATGTATTTGCTGATTGATTATATGAGCACCCTTTATCTCGCCTTGCTACATGTGATTGATCCCATGCAGATCTTTCAGGCCGCATGGGCTGCGTCTTGCTGGCGGCATGACAGAGTCCAAGAGACTACCAATGAGAATGGGAAGGCTCTGCTGTAGAATCAACTTTCCAGCCGTTCCATCGGGTTATAGGCTAGGGGCATGGCAAGACCATCATTACGCCTGGAGAGAAAATACTACTAAAGACAATTATATCACAAGCAAGCTATTCATGGCGTGTCGCTACCAGAAAATGCGAAATTACAAGCGCCGTGGTGGGTCGGCCTGGTTGGCCTTTGTCGTGTTATCAAGGGCAAGGGGGCAAGGAACGCAATCCTTATAGGGATAGAAAGCAGCAGGGCGTTGGTGATGCCAAGCATGTGACACGAACCGGAATTGGGATGGACCACATTCCATGACTCTTCTGATGCAATCCTTTAACCTGAAATAGCAAGTGTGAGATGAGCCTCAGACCGTTCCGCTCTATCGGGTCAGGACTCGCTCATACATTGGTCCAACGGTTGCCCCATGCGTAAGCAGAAGATGGTCTGACCGCAGTTAGTTTGACGAGGATATGATTGCTACTTATAAGTTAAAAGGCTGGTCATATAGAATAATTTGCGGCTTAGAGACTGAGCAGCAAAAATAGGACCTATCGTAGCAGGACAGTTCCGGTATCGATAAGGCGGCTTACTTTCATATCAACGGTGAAGACAGTATGGGGCTAAGCAAGCTGTTGAGCATTGCTAGAACAGATGTTTCGAAATTGGTTGAAAGAAACGTTAGAGTCAAGGTAAGAAGCCATCACTTGTATCCTCAGGGGTGGTGTCAGCTTTCGGTTCAGTTCATACTTCCATTCTGTCTTGTTTTTGTTTGTTTTGTATTTAACGTGGGGGGTAGCTCCTCAGTAGTGCAAACCACGCCTCCCAGAGCCATTGCATCGCAAGGTTGTAGAGGTGTCAAATTAGATACATTCAGATCCGCGCACGAGCCTATCCTCGCTGTAGCGGTACCAATCTGGAGTGTTCAGATGGTTTTAGTCAATACCCAAGCACGATTCCGTCAGAAAAACCTCCTATCTAGTGACAAAGCGACCCAGTGAACCTCAGTTCTCTGGTGTACATATCGTTCCAGTAGCCGTTCGATATATGTCGCATTGGTGGGTGGAGTAGGTGTTTGTTATCTGCTGGCGAGGGAAACCACAAGGGGGAAAACCTCGCAGGAGTGGGTATTGTGGAGACAAGCTGCTTGGCTATCGGGCTCTGCGATAAAATGGGGCCTCTCCACTGTCGTGTGCTGGTTATCGACTCGCACAAGCCGGGTCAGAAAGGGGGCCATAGCAGGATTCGAACCCACTTGTTCTCGTCGCCCACCGCACAAACGAGAACACAACCAGGCGCATTTGACCATTGCGCCATACGGCCACTTCCATTCTGTCTGGGACAGGCCTGCGCCGGTTCCATCCATGGGCGCGGGGATTAGAAGGCCTAACATGAAGCTGTACGTCCTCACCCATAGTCAAAGCTAATGCTCTGTTAATGCCTATAATCATCCGACTGCTCATAGGATCCGATTCTTGACAGAAAAATCACTCTAGGCCATTTGCCGCCATTTAGTCACATAACGGAAGGATCCGCATAAGTGGCTGCTTCCCTTAAAGCTTGAACCAAAACCTTCTCTACCTGCCGCCTGCCCTGACCTCAGCCTTCTGCAAAATAAATTATAGCTGTCTCCCACATGCCATTACTTCCTCTCTTTTATAACCACAACCACATCCATAACCACAACCACAACATCGGCATCCCCGCGCGCACTCTGTATCCCACATCTTGCCATCGTCTCTCTTTGGCGAACATCTTACCATTTCCAGACATACATCCCGATCATCAATCTTCTCTCACGAACGACAAATCACGACCGCCATCATGTCTGAGAACAACGGTCCCATCATGGTCACTTTACAAAGCAATGATATGCAGCAAATTCAAGTCGGTCAGTGGCTCCCTCCCCCTCTCCGTGGAGCGACCGTCCTCCTGTCATCACTGTCGCAACAAGCTATTGACCTCTGCTACAGAGAAGGCCATTATTGAGCGCTCCATACTCATCAAGAACATGCTGGATGACCTAGGCGACGGTGTTATCGGCCAGACAATTCCTATTCCCAACGTATGTATACCTCTTCCTCCAAACCTTGCCGCACCTGGAACATGTGATATTAACTACACTCCCACCTTAGGTCACTGAGCCCGTCCTTCGCAAGGTGATCGAGTGGTACGAGCATCACCGCGGTGACCCTCCTTCCACTAACGAGGACGAGTCGGATAACCGCAAGAAGACCACTGATATTGAGGAGTGGGACCAGAAGTTCATGCAGGTCGATCAGGAGATGCTGTTTGAGATCATTCTTGTATTTTATCACCCTTATGTTTACTATTCATCTCTTTGTCATAACATACTGACTTGATTAATACAGGCTTCCAACTACCTCGACATCAAGCCTCTCCTGGACGTTGGCTGCAAGACTGTCGCCAACATGATCAAGGGCAAGTCCCCCGAGGAGATCCGAAAAACCTTCAACATCACAAACGACTTCACCGCCGAGGAGGAGGAGCAGATCCGCCGCGAGAACGAGTGGGCTGAGGATCGCTAAGCGATTCTTACCTACGTACGAAAGCCTACCGTGTCTTCTCGTACGTCGTGGCATTCTTCGCTATGCCCCAATATGGAACACCACGTGGGTTACTGTCGTCGAGTGCGGTTATATTGATGGGTTCCATGGGTGAAAGGCGGCCAGAGGAGAGTCGTCATTGGCACACTGGAAGCACTTGCCCTTAATTGAGTATTGGTAGCCGCTATTTATCATAGTTGATATCGGTGCAGCTCCCCTTATAAGAACCTTGTCTCTTTGTCCGTAACCCCTGAGTAAAGCCTGGAGTCTACCATTGACGCACAACCGACATGGATGTTTTTTAGGAAAGCCTTGCTTAATCTTGAGATGACCCGTGTGTAATGGTACGAAGGGACATCTGCTTCGGAGGGTACTACTACATAGTTGTGTTTAGTAGAAATGGATTATGAGATTAAATTGGACAATTATTAGGGAAGATGAAACTGGATCGTGACCAGAAACTTCTGCCCTGTCAGTAATGCAAGTCTCCCTTGCATCTACAAGGGCCATTGGGGAAAAGGACTAGAAGTGGCTTATGAGTGACGACCAAGTGTCACGCCATCAATCTCAGCACGCGCCTCGTCGAGTGGGATAGAGGTGACTAACTTGTACGTGTTTGAGGCTATGGCCATCGAACCGACAGTGGTTGGACGCATACCTAAGCATATAATAACAAACAGTCCCCTGCGCATAGAACTCCACCCAATATGTTCTTGTTATAGCACCGCCTAGAACCGAGCGTAGGATTTTATAAGATGATATGAGAGACAGGAGACCATAGAGTTGGTGAAAAAGATCGCTATGCTTAAACGTACTCGCTGCCAACGACCAAACCTGGGGTTTTAAATATGCGGCTAGAGCCCAGATGGCCTATAAATAGGATGGTCTATTCATGAGTCATCCTGATGCTGCCTTTATTAGAGCATATCTACCACGTAAACCCGTCCTTCTTTATTATTACCGGTATCATGCAAGAGAACTTGAGAGACTATTGAGAATGATTGGTCATCAGTCGTCATGGTCGGTGACATGCGGCCAACATACTGATGTGGCATGCAGGATGGCCACAGCTACAGGCTAAAAATAATGTTCTCCTGACTTGGGATTTGATGTGTTAGTGTACAGATCTCTCTTGACAATCGAAATTCTTGGATGTACAGCATTCTCGTCCAAACATCAGGCCTAGCTGCCTGGAACAGTCCCCTCATGCCCTAAAGCGAGATCAGTCGCCCACCCCGGGGGAATGTTAGCCAGAGGGACCTACGGATGCGGACGTCCTGAGATCCACAGTTTCAGGTCAGGGTAGGTGATTTGCGCTATTACATAAATATAAGGAAAGTTCAAAGACGGCTAAGGATGGCTGGTAACAATCGCAACTAGAAATAGCTTAGGTGTCCTACAAAAAACCATTGCCCTGGTACCCCAACTTGCCCATCTCCGCGCATACGCATGCAAGGCTTATATTTTAAAAGAAGGGAGACGCCAAAGAAGCCAGGTTAGAGAACTCGACCCACGAGCCTGGATAGGATGGCTAGTAGGATATCGTTCAACCAATATCTATCGAATTTGGGTACCATACAAGAAGAAGATCATCAACACCCGAGATGTCATGTTGCGTGGTCACGTGACCCACTTGGGTTGGCGTATTGCCCACATCCACTGCAGCTGCGCACCACCTCCAGACCTTCCAACAACAACAACAGCAGCACCAATGCAGCAGATTCACATCCTTTTGGCCTTCTCGTCGCGCAACAGGTTATGAGCCCTCATCCGCTCCCGCTACTGCAATCTATTATTGTTCCTATTGATCCACGCATTTCTCGCAAATTTTGACGATTTTTCCGTCAATTGTCGACCTCCTGCGGCTTTAATAGCCCTCCTTCGCGCAAATTTTTCGCGCACATCTACGACCATCAATCCCAATCCTCTAATTTCAGCGTGCGATTCTATGAAATCTATCAACACGTTTGAGGGGATTACTGAGGTGATAGGTACCATCATTGATTCTTCCGACAATCTCAAGCCTTCGTACATTCCAACACTTGTTTCTACCTCACAATCAAAGAGAAAGAAAGGCAAGAATACTACCACTCGACAGACCTCGAGAAGCGAGGTACACGTCATACCTGACGTAAATTACGATGGCTGAGCCAACGGCAGTCCTGGCACTGCAGCCCATTCCCATTCTCAAAGGAGAAATCAACCTCAAGCAATGGAAACGCGCAGTGCGTCAGCATGCCACATATTTTGGTATCCTCGAACACATACAAACCAACTTGGTCCTGGCAGAGGATGCTACAAACCTTCAAAGGGTCACATTCACGAGATCCAGAGTCCACGCCCACATGTTGTTGACGTCAACAATCGGTCCAGTTGAGGCCCAACTGGAAGCTGCAGGCTGGGATGATGAGGATGACAGCCCTCACACCCTCTGGAATCTCATTATCAAGAATATTCCCAAAGTCTCTGAGAATTCAGTACCCCAATTATTCTGCCAGTTCATGAATCTCAAGCTGGAACAGGGCATGCTGTTGAGAGATTTCAATGCCAAATTTCATCGGTTTTCAAACCGCCTTGCAGAACTCGACCTTGTCATGCCAGAGAAAGCGAAAATCCTCATGATCCTTGAGGCTGTCAAGACCCGCTACCCTGAGTGGCATAGATTCCTTGAAAGAGACTACGAGAAAGGAGTCCTCACATGGAAATCCCTGGAGGATGAGCTCAATCGTAAATCCAACAACGAGGAAGCTGACCCTGGATCGGCATTCCTTGTTGCCCCCAAGTCCAACAGGAATTCTGCTAGCAATAACAGCAAGTCTAGTAGTTCGTCAGGAAGTCCCCAGCATAGCTCTGGAAGCATACAAAAGCCTGAGAACCCCATGATCGATTACAATATTGAAGGTTGCTACGCTCGCCATCGCGTAAATTTACCTTGGTGTAGTTACTGCAAGAGACACCACCCAGGAGGAACAAACCGCTGTTTCAAAGCACAGCCAGAACCCGCCACATTGATAACCGCTACAAGTGGATCATCAACCGAGTCCAGATGGGATACTTCACGATTGTTCAGGTGGGTACGAATGACATGATTGCAGATGGTTTGACGAAGCCGTTGAACAAGGAGAAGCATCAGGCATTCCTTAGACAGCTTGGATTGGGTTACTGCCAATGGTAGGCGATAAAGGTGATGTAGAGAGGTAAATGGGGGTTATCTTGCCATGAACGCAGATTTCCTGCTCAAATACCAACAAATGTATGGTATTATGGAGCCACATACAGTTGTAATGGCTTCACTTTGCTGCTTCTCAGCAGTGGTAGTGGCCAACGGGGGTGTGTTGCGTGGTCACGTGACCCACTTGGGTTGGCGTATTGCCCACATCCACTGCAGCTGCGCACCACCTCCAGACCTTCCAACAACAACAACAGCAGCACCAATGCAGCAGATTCACATCCTTTTGGCCTTCTCGTCGCGCAACATGTCACCTTTAATAAGAACACGCTTTTTGATGGCAAATAGAAGACCCTGACAGCTGAGATGATTACAGAAATAGACGAGCATATTAGTGCCTTGTGCCAGGAAATGATTCTGTACACGTCCTTTGGTTCGGTCGCTGAACCGATCAGAGTCCGCCAGTATTCTCTCCTGGCTTTCCGAACCACGCGGCGAAAGTCCCGATTGCTGATGATGAATGGCTGATGCGCGGCTGATTTGTGGCTGATGCTTGGCTGATGCGGCATTTGTGTGAAGCTGCTGAACCGCGTCTTGAACACCTGCTTGTGCGCATTTGCTATATGCGACGATTGGTTCGACACTCGTTCGTTTCTTCTCGTATTTCTTTTGCACAATATTCGGAATCTCTGGTTGTGGTATAATTCCCTTATTCTGAATGAGGAGGTCAAGAAGACCTAAGGCGTCTGCCTTCAGTTGGAACTCATGGTCCCTAGTACCTCAAGGAACGCTTCCGATGTGAACTATGGCCATTACCGCTTCTCGCCATCCGCTTTATGCTCTCGATATATGCCACCTCGAGATGCATTGAAGCGATGAACTTTATCTTCCTTGTCTTAGTATATTAAATCTATTATTGGGTAATATGTGCCGCGGGAACAAGGAACAAATCAAGGACATACGTTAAGGCAATTTATAAACAAGCAATTCTTGATATACCTTGTCCTTATCGTCCAAAGTAAGCTTATAACGGCAGAGAGGACATGTTGAGCTTCTTGTGACGACCGGGTGGTGGGAGACGATTGTGCTAAGCCAACGATATAAGCAACTACCCCCGAAGATATGGCCGCATGGTAGGCGAAGTTCCATTCGTGCTGGGTAAGAACAAATAGAACAGTCCGCAATTAAATTCGGTCAAAGCCAGTGGCTAACATCGTGACAATCTAATTCTTTCAACCAATCTAACTTTGACTGGCAAAAGGCATTCTGGCGATTGAGTGTAGGCCGAAGACCTCCGGTGGTTCTTTGGAATGGGACATCATTAATGAACAGCTTGGCCGTCTGCTCTTTGGTTTGACCCCCTGTTGGATCGACCCTGCAGCCCGTTGTGAATCTTGGTGGTACCAGTAAGGGCCGTTGTACTCTCGTGCTGTTCTGTTGATGACAAGCTGACGCGACACTACCTTTGGCAGACCGCCAGCACGCATCCTTTAGCTAGCCGGCTACGTCCAGCTTGCTCTTCACCTGACCGACCACTATATGCAGATTCCTGACACTAACTACGAATCAACCTCTGCTGGTGCCCAATACTTGCGACCTCTGAGAGTTGGGCACGGATCATAGTCACGTGCCTGTTTTGCGGCCTGTTTTGCGGCCTGCTCCTCTGACACCAATACAAACAATCGCGGTAAAGTCGGGAAATAAGTCGCCGACATAACTAGAATTATAGGTGGAACTGATCATGTGGCTAAGATGCTTAGATTGATCACTGAGGTAGAGACTATCTATCTGTCTAGCTAGGAAATGTCCATCCTTATATATCCAATCTCTCCCTCACTGATGAAGTGTGCTCACTGCTGCTCGCGTGAGCAGTCGTGAGCAAAGTCTGGTCACGTGATCCACATTCCTTAGACTATTACAACGTGAATAGCCCTTCGCCTACAGCGTCTGATCGGGAAATTGATAGTGGGGATGGTAGGGATGTTCTCCAGGACCATTCCATAGTTCTTTAAGTGTGTAGCCGGGAAGTTGTGCTCCCAAAGACTCGCCGTTAAGCCACCGAGTACTGACCTCTTCCATCAGCTGACGTGCTTTATTGAGATACCAAGTCGCCAATCCATCCGTCCGTATGTCCTTTGGCGGCATTGGCGGAGGAGTGTTCCAGGCCCGTACGCCCAAGCCCTGGTTGAAGCAAATCCATATTCCTCTGGTTCCTCTTCCGGGTCTTTCTCTGTATCCTCGGGCGCTGGCGTGTAGGGACAATTCTCTAGATGTCTGTCGGAATCTAGCAGTCGACACACCTCTGGATTCTTCATGATAATGAACAACCGGTCTGTGAAGGCTTGTGCTTCTTCGAGCTCGAGAAGAGTACCCTCGAGCCTCATGTGTTGCATTTCGCCATTTGGACAGGAGTGCTTTAAGATCTCTATTGAAATACAACTCATCGTGCTCTTGTCAATTCGGCAGAGAGCAGTTGGGTATCCGGGCCGGCTAGAGAGGTGGAGAGTCGCGTTGGTAAAAAAGAGTGCAAAATTTGGCAGATTGAGTTGGGAACGAAGCTTGGGGACGAGTGCAAAATTTGGTAGATTGAGTTGGGAACGATCTAGGTATTTAAAGCTTGGGGGATGTCTGCGCTAATGTTTATGGTGGACAACAGTAGCAACTCCGCCAACGGGCATAGGTTACGTGATTGGTCCATGTACAGCATACCACCCCCCCATAATTATAGGGCCTTACAGCGCACCCACCCCCACTCCCTAGAATCTGGCGTCCAGCACAGCCTCCCCAACACCGCCCCATTGACCAGGCGTGTAACTATCCCGGTCATCACCTACCACCCGGGTACTGTTGAATACACGGATGTTGATTGATGGATGCTATTGATTGTTCTGCTCTGCGTGCAGAGATTGATTATCTGTCTTCTTGGTGGGGGGTCAGATGCCCTGTGCATCTCTGCCCCACTGGAGATCTTCCGGTGTCTATCTCCGGCTCCCATTCAACACACCCCCCCAGGAACAACTCCTTCCATTGGGGTTGTTCTTGAGCATTCAGTTTGTTGCTCTTCCTGTTCAAGGTCATCTTTAAGTTCTTGTAGCTTGTAGGCTGCAAGTCTCTTATGGATATCTGTCAGCCTCACTTGCTCCCTGAATGTCTTGAACTTTGGTGCCGGCAGCGCCTTGGTCAGGCCGTCTGCAAGCATCATTTCGCTCCGGACGTACTCGACGTCTATCTTCCCGTTGTGTTGAGCTTCCCTTAGCCAGTGGTTGTGGATATCGACGTGCTTGAGCTTTGTTTGAAGTGTTTGGAGGTCCTTCCGCACCAACTTGATGGTCTGTTGGTTGTCACACCAGATCCGGAGAGTTGGACAGTCCAAGGATATGCCAATTTCTCTAAGGAGCCGTGAGACAAACATCACTTCCTTGGCTGCTTGAGCAAGGGATAACAGTTCTGCCTCTGTTGTTGAGGTTGTCACTGTGTCCTGTTTGTTTGCTCTCTAGCCAATGATGCCTCCAAATAACTTCATGACATATATTTGTGAGCTCTTTCGGTCAAGGCAGTTGTCAGCAAATGATGCATCGCTCCAAGTTTCCAGCAGATCTTCACCCCCCAATTGAAGAGCAAAAGATCTGGTACCCTTCAGGTACTCTAATAGGTGCTCTGCGGCAGCAGCATATAAATCGTTTGGGTTGGTATTAAAGCGTGAAAGCCGAGAGGCAGCAAAAGAGATATCGAGTCGTGTGATCACTGCTGCGTACAGGATTGATCCGATCTTCTTTTGGTATCTGTTGATTGAGGCTGGCGAGGCGAGCTCGTCGCTTGGGAGAAGTTCTTGAGGCTTCATGGGGATTTCTGGGCACTTCTTGTTGCGGTCGATATGACTTGTAATCTTGTTGATATATGAGGCTTAAGACAGCCAGATGAGCCGCTGTTTTCGGTCCCTAATGATCTCTATCCCCAAGAACCACTGTTTGATGATTACCTTGGAGGAGTGCTCGTTCGAGTCAGACATGATGGTGACGAGGGGATACGGTACGTGATAGGTGGCTTCCGACGTCAGGGAGCCTCTGTTATAAAGAACAGATTCGTATTCGGAGAACGGTAGGGGACTGCGACAATGAGGGTAGCTAATCCTCGTGAAGCAGTGAAGAGAGAGATGATCAGCAGCAGAAGATCTGCAAAGGTCGTGATCAAAAGCGAGATGCTACCATGTGAGATTTCAAAGCGTTCTGTATTGAAAAGAAAGAGAAGAAGATCTCTGGGGGAGAAGCCCCCCTATAGATGTACAGGTATGCTATCAGGGTGACCAGATAATCATACGATAATGGCGCCAGCTGAATGCCCTGAAGCTAAGCCCATTAGAGCATTCAGCCTCGAAAGCCTCAGCCTGGTATGATATCCAACAAGATCGCACCACAATGGGCTCGTTGGACTCCTTATCCGTGCCATCACCCCCTCTGTCAATAGCAACCCCTCCATCCTCAGAGGGCCCCAATTCCTCTGATTCTTCTGAATCTGTCTCCAGAGATGGATCACTCGCACTCGGGTCGGCCATCCGGCTTCGAGGACATGTCCGCCTGGGCCCCCTCCGCCGCCGCAGCAGCAGCAGCACTTTCATAATCATCACCAAGGGGTAGGCGGCGGTCTCGATCGCGGCTTAGTCCGACTCTTAATTGTCAGATTTGAGCCAATCGTGGGGTAGAAGTGTTGCGCGACGAGAAGGCCAAAAGGATGTGAATCTGCTGCATTGGTGCTGCTGTTGTTGTTGTTGGAAGGTCTGGAGGTGGTGCGCAGCTGCAGTGGATGTGGGCAATACGCCAACCCAAGTGGGTCACGTGACCACGCAACAAGAAGTGTGTGTGTCTCTGAAGCAGAGGGGGCTGGATCGGGACGGAACAAGTAGGTTCCGTTGTTTACCTATCAAGGTGCCCTCTGGGCTCAAATTTAATCCAACACATCTCTGGAAGAATTGGGATACACCCTAGAGTCGCATTGGCAGCTATGATTGCCACGCACCATGCATGGGGGCGGGCAGTGTACCTGGTGAATCACACTCAACCGTTAATGTTCGGTGCAGAAGGGACTGTCCATTGGCCGCGGATGTGCAGTGCAGCCTCAGCCATTATTGGAGTAACCCCGCATGGAATCGGGTGGAAGAGATCGTTGAAAAAATATCAAGAGAGCTGTGATGTTGTTCTGATATCTCATGGGACTTCCCCCCATGAACTGTTACCACATGATCTCACGTTTTATGGCACAGCCTGAAACGACAGCCTTGATACCTATTGGCAGATCAAGTCACGATGTCAATCACATTCAGTTACACACAATATACATTACGAGCTCTCCATTACAATGAATCCATTATCGATTATTATGGCAGTTCTTACTTTATGTGGCATTATTGCCGAGGCTAGGAAGGCATCACACCAATTCATGGAAGACATGCGATCGGCCCAGCCCAGCATAGATGACCTAATCCAGGAATTCGATTCGCTTAAGGGCGGGGTTGATCTCTTGCAAAACGACTTCGAAGACAGGATACCCAAAGCATTGCACGACATGTTTTCAGGAATCGTCGTCAAGTGCACTGATGTCGCCTCGGGCATTGACGAGCTGTTTGCGAAGTACAACCTTCCCCTGGCCACCAAAAAAATCCAGTGGGCGGCTTCTGGTAAAGACGAACTTGAGAAGCTGAAAGTCGAACTGAAAGCGAATAGCGATGCTTTGGTTATAGTAATGGATGTGGTGAATCTGTTGGTTCCATTCCGACCCCTAGTACATTGTGTGGTTGCTGAACTGCCTGCAAGGGTCATCAACAAGGACGTCAAGCATGATACAGAAATCCTCAAAAGTAAACAAGTGTTATCATTAATTACTTCTTGAGGAAATCTCTACTGACATTAATATGTGGTCAAGAGGGTCAACAGCATATTCTGCAGGAAATAGAGCAGCTGAAGCAGCGACTGCCGCCACCTAGTCCGTACACCGCCCACCCGGCCAACATTCCGCTTCAGCAACATCTGGATGACATATCGAGCTACGCGGGAAGTGTGATTGTGTCTACACCGATCAACACGAACGAGCTACGCCAGCGTTTTGCTCAAGCCCGACCTACACCTGAACTTGCGCGGCCACCTATGGGTCAAACAGCAGTAAGGGGTCCAGAACAGAGTCGCAGGCCGGCCGCCTTACTACCAGTTCCCCCAATATCTGTCTCATCAACAGGGCTGAACGCTGCCGAGCGACACGGGATCGCCAGTCAAATGTTGCCTGAAAGTCAAGGCGCAGCCCGTGCGACACAGCACAACGTATTTGCAACAGAAGATATGCCGCCAAGTTCCAGACATGACGGCTCGGGCGAATCTGATCTGGCGCGTGGGACGGACCGCACACACTCGATCACAAGGACTCTATCTTGGGGATCTGGACCTCCATCGAAGACCCACAAGAGACGTCTGCTGGGGAGGATCCTTGATAGATTCAAGAAGAACAAAAGGTGGCCACTCAGGGGGGCACGGATCCCCGGACATGCTCGTCTCGGACTCATCAGAGAGACCCTCTTTCACTAGCGGCGATGCCTCACCACCACGGCGCTCGACTGCATCGAAGAAGTCGCTGGAGGATCATTCAGCAATATTTGACAGGATACACAACAGGGGAAGGGACCGTCGGTTTGCATCTCATTGCGACGCATCAATTTCCTCGATCTCGACTACGTCTTCCCTAGAGTCTAGGGACTCTGGTGATTCTGGCCGGAGGTGGGTACTGGATCAAAACGGCACAAGAGAGGCATCATGTCAACACTGAGGAGCATGACAACAGCTAAGCCCCTCAATAGTCCGTCTTTTGCGACATCCCGGTCTTCGTTTACCTCGTCGAGTCGCAGCCCTAGCGAGGAGGAAGACAGACACACCAAGGGGATATTCCACCGACTGCACGCGAGTCTCACGTGACACGGTTACCAATATTCCACCTACATGCAACTGCTTCAAGTGGCCATGAAGTGGCTGGTGCACCGCTCGAAGATGAGGATCGTGAATGGGGACGGAGAGGATGGGGTGGTGGTGGGATTCTCGAACTTAGGCTAGGCGCGTGACAACGTTGACTTTCTTGAGAAGGGTCTCTCGGCCGAAACGCCATAACGAACTCGTCGTCCGCTTTCATGAAATTAGGGGACAGCCCATTGCAGAATTTGGCGTAAGACACTGGATCCTTAAGGGTCTGGTCGAGGCCGGCATTCTCGTTCTCGCAGTGGAGAACGACATAGAGCTGCATGCGGGGGATGAGGTCGATGAGCGGCATGTCGAGGTGCTGTGAAAGGTAGTCCAGAGGAACCTCGCTAAGGTAGCTCTTTACGGCGCCCTTCTCGAGATCGTTCAGATAGTCGTAGGTACTCGGGTCGCGGGACGGGATCTTCCAGGTGTCGCGTTGAGACGGCCCGGTTTGGTATTGCGCTGTCGATGGTTTGTCCATGGCGCAGACTCCGGTATGGTCGATAGCTGGATGTGCTGATCTCGGGGTGGACGGGACGTTGAGAAGCTGGAAAGTCACGCGGCGTGTAGGGTCACGGCTGCGAGGTTGAAGGTTGGTAGAGCCGCCTCCTCGTAATGAAAGCTTGGTGGGTGTCTGTGGTGTGGGGCTCTTCGGAGCAGGGAATGTACATGATATAGACAATGATGTGTGCTGTTATACTTACCATCCTTTGTTATTTCCGGCGTTATGTATGAGAAATTGAGAAAGGGCTGAGAACGATTGGACATGTCGCCACAGCCACGAGTTTTTGCTAGCCCGACAGGCCAGTATTGGATGTAAGTAATTTTAGGACTTTTAGCCATTTCTACCAGCCTGTTTCGTGACCCGAGACGGTGACCGTGTTCGAAGAACAGGAAGAGGGCATTGCTCATGCTGAAGGATGGGCGGTATTGGATCGATGCAGACACGAGATCCATATTTGGCTTTTGGGCTGAGCGGACGGAGTGGATAGAGGCGCTTCTCGAAACTGATCTTGACCTTGACCTTGACCGTGTACTTACCTGATCGTCTAGCCTGGTCGTGTCGGCCGCCGAAAGAATGCTGGTGACTTGTTTAGCACTAGCTTGTGGATATTGTTGGGCAGGACAGAAGAACTCCAGTTATGGAGAAGCAGCGGCATGTGTGACAGCTGGAAGATGCATGCGTCTCCGTTATGTTCCCACTTGGACTATTGGGTTCATAGCCACTCATGACCAATTATTCTCAGCCGCCTCTATCCATAGGCCGGCGGGATTTTCGAAGGTATTCTTCGTAGTGGCGGGAGACTTTCTTGGTCGAAATAGGCACAGTGGCTTCGGGTAGTAGTCGATACAGAAAATGTTGGATTGATCTTTGGAGAGGCGCCTATATATATCCGGCCTAGACGGTGCATGTATCACTTAAATATAAACACCATCGGCAGGCTAAGGATATTGTTAGATGCAAGCGAGTCCAGATTATTCGGTTGGTCAAGTGTGTTCTATTGTTCTCTTCTTCTGCTTCACCCCTTCAGCGTGCAGAAATTGATGATCTATCTTCTGGGTGGGTCAGATGCCCTGTGCGTCTCTGCCCCACTGGAGATCTTCCAGTGTCTATTTCCGGCTCCCATTCAACACACCCCCCCAGGAACAATTCCATCCATCGGGGTTGTTCCTGAGCATTTGGTCTGGTTCTCTGATGATTCTTGTGATAGGTACACATCACCACATTCCCCACCGGGCAACAGATCTTCCAGATGTTGAAGATCTTCATCCGAGAGCTCTTTGGTTCGTCGTTGCTGTATCCGATCTCTGATATCCACGAGTCCCAACTGTCTTGTGAATTTCTTGAAAGCTTCTGCTGGAAGTACCTTTGTCAGACCATCTGCCATCATATCCCCAGTGGGGACATATTCCACCTTGATCCTCTTCCGTTGAGCTTCTTGTCGTAGCCAGTGATTGTGGATATCAACGTGACGCAGTTTGGTTTGTAGTGTAGCGATGTCTTTGTTAATTAGACCGATTGTCTGCGTATTGTCGCACTGTATGATGATCCGAGAGCTATCAAGTCGGACTCCAAGTTCGCGGATTAGGCGGGAGACGAACATGGCTTCTTTAGCAGCCTGCGCAAGGGACAATAACTCCGCTTCTGTGGTGGAAGTAGTCATTGTAGCCTGCTTGTTCGCTCGCTAACCAATAATCCCTCCGAACAGTCTCATGACGTATGCTTGTGAACTCTTTCGATCGATAGAATTGTCGGCAAAGGAGGCGTCGCTAGCTACTTCGAACGTGTCTGACCCGCCGTATTGTAAGGAAAGATGTTGAGTTCGAGAGAGGTATCGGATGAGTCGATCTGCTTCGGAATGGTGCTCTGGGCTAGGATTTGTGTTGAATCGTGATAGTCGAGAGGCCGCAAAGGCTACGTCTGGGCGAGTGATTACGGCAGCATATAGAATAGATCTAATCTTCTTCTGATATCTGTGGATAGACTTTAGCGTGGCTATTCTGTCAAAGGGAAGAAATTCTTTATTCTTTATGGGAATATCCTCTCTGCCTTTCTGAGACTCTTTAGCTAGTCTGGATATCTTTTCTGCATAGGATGATTGAGATAGCCAAAGGAGCCGTCTTTTCCGGTCTGGGATGATCTCGATTCCTAGAAACCACTGGAGGTCATCTCCACCAGTAAGCTGATAATGTAGCTTGATCTGACTGATCATGTGGTTGGCAGTAGCCTCTTTCTCTTTCTTATATGCAACCACTATGTCGTCCACGTAGAAAAATATAAGAATTCCATCTCTTGTGAAACAGCATGGTTCATGGGGTACTGGAGTATATCCAATACTTGTGAGGGTCTTGGTCAGCTCTTTCTGCCACAAGAGAGGGGATTCTCGCAATCCATAGAGGGCTTTCAAGAGACGAAGCAACGTTCTTGGCTTCCGGTACCCTGGGGGCATCTTCATGTATATGTCCTGGTCTAGTTTGGCGTTAACGAATGCATTTACAGCATCATACTGTATCAGTTCCAGGTCGAAGCGAGCTGCTATAGCCATCAGTGTTCTGAAGGAACGGCCAGCAAGTGTAGACGCATAAGTGTTCTCGGTCTGTCCGGTGGACTGCTGGTCCCCTCGTACCACAAGACAGGCCTTGCATTTCAGGAACCAGCCGTGCTTGTCGAACTTGTAGACGTATACCCACATGCAGTCTAACACCTGTTTGCCGTTAGCTGTGCTTATTTCGACTTCTTTCCACGAGCTCATCTCATGATGGCTCTGGAGATGTATTTGCTCTGCGCTTCGAAACCCCTGACCCATCAAGTGGTCTCGTAGATCCTTGTGAGTTCTTGGTAGTGATGGGAGCTCGCTCCGGTGGATTCTAGCTCCACTAGCAAAGTTTTCTTTTGAGCCTCTTAAGGTCTGAAGATCCCTGGGGCAGTCCAATTTGTCCAGTTTGTGTACTGTCAGGGTGGCGTTTTGGACAGTTTACCATCCGGGCTTTCTTAGCCTTGTTCACCGGCTCACCGTGCTTCACCTCCGCGGCGCTTAGGCGTCCTGCATTGAACGTGGCCTCCCAGCAGCTCAAACGTGGTGTCACTCCGATGTAGGACGACTCTGTGGTCATCCCGGGCAACACAGGCGCCGCGCTCATAGCTGCTAGTCTTGTCCCTGTATTGCCAGCTTCTTTGATAGCTGCAGTAAAGAGCGATGCTGCAGGAGGAGGAGTGTGATCGGGCGTCGGATACGGTATAAAGAAGGCATTTGTATAGAGTTGATCAGGCTCACACCCATCTCCAGAGTCCTCGTTAGAGGTTCCATGTACGTCCGAATTCACCATGTCATCGCTCTCTGTTACTCGACCGCGCTCATCGTCTTCTATAATAAGAGGACTAACGTCCTTATCCTCTTCGCTGATAGCGGGACCAGTTTCCAGACTGGAAGCATCAGGTACTTCCACATCATGTAGTAGCTTGACTAGCTCCTCTTCAGATACGTGAAGGAGGTCATCTTTCAGATCTTGGAGGTCTCCGCTAAACATCTGATCTTCGTCGAAGATGACGTCGCGAGTGGCTATCACCTTGTTGGTCAAGGGATTCCAGATTCGGTAGATATTTGTCGAGTTATAGCCGACTAGGTAGCCGATCCAAGCCTTTGGATTGAGCCGCTTCTTGCGCTGCTTTTTCAGCTGAGCATCGCTTGTCAAAGCAAATGCTTTGCATCCAAATACTCGAAGGTGTCCTTGCTTAGGCTTGTGGTCTGCTACAAGTCCATCTCTGTATCCCAGGTAAGTGTAGAAATGTTCATAAGGAGTCATCCAGTTATAGATGTACTTAGGGGTACGGTTGTACAAGTATACCGCTGTTCGGAAGATCTCAACCCACAGATATGCTGGCAACTTGGCTCCATTTCGCATTGAACGGGCCTTGTCCTTAATTACACCCCCTGAGCGCTCGGCGCCTCCATTCTGGTCCTGTGTGTGAGGCGCTGAGGGCTCTACCCTCATCTTCTTAGTCATAGTAAGGAACTGATATACACGAGGCTTCTGGGTCGTGAGCTCGTTGTCGCATTCGATCACTTCTGGCTTGACTTGATTCTGGTGCTCCAGAATCCCGAATAATAGCTCAAGGGTTGCTATGAGCGTGTCTGTCTCTCGATCGCTCAAATAGAAATCCCAGATATATCCAGACCATCTGTCGGTAACAAACATAATGCTGTTTAATCCGGCGCTATCTCTTTCAAAGTCGTGGAAATCGATGGCTAGGCGGACTCCGGGCTTCCCTGGTCTATCCCGCCGTGTACGTCTCCTTTGCTTCTTGGCTTTCCCGCAAGCACAGGCGTCACACTTCACGGTTGTGATACGTTCTTCTGTCGAATCTCTAGGCTTTGGGTCTTTGATCTTCACCTCCCGAGAGTAGCCCACAAGATGATCCAGGGCATCTGGCCCTGGGTGACCTAATCTGAGGTGCCATCGGCGGCTATCAGCAGTGTAAGGCGCTCTCTCGGTCCATGAGTTGTATTTCTTCCTTTGGATAAAGAACGCACGTCTTGTTAAAGACTCAGGCAAATCTTCAATCACGTATTGCTCATGTCGATCTGTCAGCTTGCAGAGGATTGAGTCGTCTTTCCTCCAAAGATAGTTATTGCTTCCTTTGTTGTCCCATCAGTACCCCTGGCGCTTGAGAAGTCAGAGTGATACCAAGTTGCACGCAAAGCCTTCGCAGAATGCCACATTATGTAAGCGCATAATCCTTAACCCAGAAGGGCCAGTAACGCGTATATCGACATCTCCGTAGCCCAGGATAGGTACTACCGTGTCTCCTGCAAATACTGCGTCACCCTGAATCGCCAACCGGAAGTTCAGAAACCGGCTGATCATGTTGAATATGTGGAGGGTGGTCCCTGAGTCCAGAATTGCTGAATTCTTCAATGGATCTCTCAACCAGAAAACCCCCGCCCATCAAACATCATCGATTCCATCCCTCACCATCGCTCCCGACGTACCCAAGCTCGCCAGCAACGAGACTTAATAGCGCACTCCATATCGCCACCTCGTCAGCTCCGCGTTCATTGCCATCTCGATGGCTCCACACACGCGCACAAAGCGTGCACGCAATGTCGCGTCAACGCCTCATCCATCTATGAAAGCCACCTCTGATAATATTCCTCCTCTAGCCAAAGGCGATAGCCTCGGCGGCAGTCACGAATCTGAGAGTGTTAGACACGAGACCGACGATCCGGAAAGTCAAGAAATAAAGACACTAGCACCCCAGTACCCACTGTACGGCTCGGGTGGGCGAATGTCTGGGCGAGAACCATCACGGACGCCGACGCCGGAGCCCTATGATCCCGAAACCTATACGGCCTGGTATCGGAAGCATTATGGCGAAGAGCTGTACGCAATCGTAGAGTGCGAGCAGATGCCAGCACCATGCACCTACGATCCTGACACGTACGATCCTTATGCGCGAATGCCCTGGACGCCCGAATCAGAGCCCTATCATCCTGAGAACTATGCGGCATGGGGCAGAGAGCGTTTTGGCGAAGAGTGGTACTAATTACGAAAGACCATGCTCGAGCAAAGGAACATATCTTCAGTATGATCCAATCTACAAAGAACGCCAGAAAGCCCTAAGGATAATGGAACACCAGGTGGAGAGGCGACCGTTCGAGCCGGGACTTCGAGCTGGCGGGATACGTGATGCAGGGTGGAAGCGCTTGTGGGCTCGACTTTCCAAGGACTTAGGCGTCGATAACCACACATCTCAAACACCGTCAAAGGGCAACGACGACAGCGAAACCGACCTCAGCGGGTACAACACATACGCCCCAACCCCCGAACCTCGCGAGCCAACGCCTCTCCCCGACGATCCATGGGAGCGACTGGAGTACGACCGGGGACGTCTCCACTGGGACAAGGAGAGGTATCAATTTGGAAAGATTTTCCTTAACGAGTCCCTCATAGATGGGGCTAGGACGAGGAATAAAAATGAGCCAGGCGACAGGCAAGCCCGCAAGAAACGCGAGACAATGGAAAGCTTTCGCTACGTAGATCCTGCTCGGTTCTCTCTTGAATATCGCCATTTTCAAGGCCACATTGATCTCCCAAAGAAAGGCTGGACGCAGGAGGAGATCAATGCTATGTATGATGCTGAAGTTGGCATAGTTGAATGACGACGGAAGAACCCTGCGCCAAAGGGATCTGGTGATTTGAATAAGGCAGCCACCCCAGAGGAGAGAGCCGTTTCGATTAGCTGGTTACGGAAGCACAATGCCGCATGGATTCGTTTCTACGGAGAGCTTCCACCCAAGGGGTCAGGTCCTTCCGGTATGTCAGCCACCCAGGAGGAAGATGACGCAAAGGGAACTTGGCGCAAGAATATTCACGCTCGCGTCTCTGGCCAGCAACGAGAAGCCCAGCCCAGCCCCATAGGCAATGCTTCAGCTACCAGAGTGGCATTGAAACCGCGGGTTTCATCTCGACAAACGAAGAACCCCCTACGCCAGGCTCGCGGCGGTCGAATCACGAAAAATACAAGGTTGCCACCCGATCGAGACCGTGGACCGTCTACTCCCGACGACAACACACAAACAGGACCCCAATACCGCAATAAACAGCGCAAGAGTTACAAGAAGGAGCGGGCAAGCCGAAGGCTCGCAGGAGAGTTGCCTGAATATGGGATGCTGCTAGGACAAGGTGTAGCAGAGCCACTCACAGGGCCTCCTCGACACAGCTTTCGACCACCCGCCAAACGAGTAGCTCGAGGCGTCGCAGCGACAAGCTCTCGAAAAAGCTAGCGGCAGTGAGAAGAGCAAGACCAGGGGACTTGAAACTGCCTTTGATAATTCCGGTCGAACTTTCCGACTTCAAAAATGGAAATACCCCGGGGAGATATGTCCCACCAGTAGTGCTACGTTCCCCTGCACATAATGCTGCCTGAAACGAGGCTTATGAGGACGGCGGTGGTACTACGGACCCGCCGTGCACTGTCGACTTCTCGCGGCTTGCATCATTCCACGCATTGTAACTCATAAGAGTCACCGCCTTAAAATGCGGGACTTTCCCGCTGATCTCCGGTCACTAGATACACGGGTTGAAGCTCGAGCTGCTATGAAGGATTGTGCCAGAGGCAGTGACGTGGTGTGATACACATGCATGGGATTGAGTGAGGCTGGCTATGAGTCACTTGTGACCACTCATTTACGTACATGTCAGAAGCAAGGAAACACCAAGCTAGGACGCTAAGCTCATTCTCCGCCCTGCATAACCACCGATGCAAGTACCCAAGCGCTGATCCCTCAACGGTAACCTTGGCGAGACTGACGCCAGTATAAGTACGTGAGGTGGAAAGGATACTTCATATTTAGTGTAAATCGTACCTAGCGGGATGTAAATCTGCCGCCTTGCGATATTAGGCCGCAAGATACACATTCCCGATAGTGAAAACGAACACGTCTCCTTTCCCTAAGGTCTTGAGCCGTCACGACGGCGACGACGACTTCGAGGTCGCCGTCGTCGTCACTGAGCTGTTGTCGCCTGTCTCTAAGCCGGATCTCCCGTATTCTCCTATTACAGCCAAAAACAGCTGTTGTTAGATGGAACGCTGCACTGGGCTTGGTTTTATGGCTGGAATATGACTTGTTGGAGCGCTACTAGGATAGGATACGGTCCTTACTCAGGAAAGAAAGTTTGGCTAGGAATGGGTCTTGTCGAATCGATGGTAGAGCGATCCTTTCATGATCGCTGCGTGGTCGGGAGGGAGGCTCGGGCCGAGTATCGAGCCAGACGAATACGCGGTGAAAGCCAGATAGCAGTGGTTAAGAAAAGCCATGATAAGGGTGCACACTTTGAGTGTTCTTTGGTTCTGGCGATCTTTGAGGGTTCATATTGCGAGTTGTGAATGACAAACTCCGGTGACAGAGTTATCTTCCTAGCGAGCCACTGAAACCCCAGGTCCAGGCTCAAATCGGGGGACCCGACGGAGGTGACGCAAGCCAACCGCCGTCATCGTGCGCGGCAAGCCTTTAAGTGCAACTGCCGCCTATTGGGTCCCTGGCGCCTGCGTACCCATAGCTACCAATAGCGACTCGGGTACGAGGCACGCTGGGTTGATCCATGACTTATGGTTTCACTATTATCCCAGCCACCGGCACATAGGCTGTCAAATAAGTCAAGAGGCGACTAGGATTAGTTGGCTGTGAGTAATCCATAACATCCATAATGACCTAGCAGGGAGCAGTATTATATATTAAGTCTCGTTCGCGCTTCCGAGTCGACTTGTGTTTGTACCCCGGCTGGTTCCTACGTGATGTGACGCCGAAGTGAGTGCACCACTAGGATGACTCATGGTCAGACCACGATCCAGAGGGACTGTTAACCCTATTGAGGCAGACACCCTGGATCCAACGGTTTCATACAGGGGGTGGTGGCAGCCTTACCACCATTTGTGAATCAATCGTTCCAGCAGTGGCGCACGTCAGAGCTGCCCTGATTTGGCATAGGATGAAGCATTGTGCAATTGCTACGCCGGTCATCTAGATATTCCCTTGATGTCTGTTCTTGGCAAGCTATACGAATTCTGTCGTATTACATGCAGATATGTGGAAGCCACTCACTGTTAGACGCCACGTAGAACTTGTCAGAAACCGCCCCCGTTTTTAGTTGAACATATAAATACTGAGGAATCATCCTTGTGTGACCTCGACGCTTAATTTTTAGCCATCCAAGTTCACCCACCCCGCCAAGAACAGAAGGGTATATCCTCCCGCAAATCCGCCCAATACCGTGAAAATGAGTCCTAGCAGGCCAGAACAACTCGGGCAGCAGACCGCATTTGCGCCATCATTTCCCGAACCCGGAGACGATGGAACCCGGTCCATGTCCTTTTCGGCATCGAGACTAAGCTCCAATCAGCTGAAAGAATACCTCGACAGTAACTTTCCCGGCCAATACTCCGTCAAGGTACGATGAAAACGGCAGTGGAATCTCAGGTGTTAACGCTCTTAGTGAAATGTTGACATTTTAGAAGCTAAAACGCAACGAGTTCACGGTCAGTATAAAAGGGAAATCTAGTCAAAATAAGGCGAGTATACAGCCCATTCAAGCTTGAAGTTGCCTATGGTTTGGCTAACGGGTGGGTGACAGTGACCCTCAAAGGCAAGGTCCACATTGATCATCGGTGGAGGCATTGGGACCATTGGTTCCCTTGCAACTCCAAGTCGCTACGGCCACATGCGGCTGCTTTGTTTGCTTTGTTTCAGGAGCTTGTTCCTTCTGTTGGGCCCGTAACAGATGCTGGTTGTTGAGGGCCAATACACATATGGGTGGACATTGTTGTATTGGAGATGCTTGAGGTGTGTGAAGCTATCTCGGCTTGCTAGCTACATATCTGGGGAGCAGGGCAACGGTGGTCTGTGCACCGTGATTGGCCTGAGGCCACAACAGCAGTCTTTAAATTCCTGGCATATCCAAGTTCAAACAGCTTGATTCAAGCTGCAGGGTAAGATTTATGGAACTTATGCTCCTGCTTCATGTGCGAGTGCACTACAAAAGAAAGAGATGTAAAACAGATCCCCCAGACGCCACCCAAATAAAGAAAAATACAAATGCCATCAATGGCGAGGGCAGATGCCGCCATAAAACTCGGTGGCTAGGAGTAGGTCTCGGTACACTGTAGGAGTGGACATGATATCACGCAGGTAGCGTTGCCATTCCGGCCTGGTAGGCCGCCTGGAGGGGCCCAGGGGCCATCTCTTGTACTGCTCGATGGATTTCTGGCAGTGGACGATGTGTTCCGGAGCCTTTGCCCTCCCACAAGAGCATTCCTGGTTGGCGTTTATATGCTCAAACTTGTCGTGGTACCAGGCAAAGTCGCCGTGTCCTGTGCGGGTAGCTAGGTAGTGATATAGTGCTGGCCTGGTTAGGACCTGCAGCTCCTCGTGGCAGCGTAAGTGGTACTCAAGGTTCCAGTCCTTGTAGCGAGATGATAGCGTTGTTTGCGCCTTGTCCCACCATTTCTCACGAGCTGTAGCTCTTTTTATTCGCGCCATGGACTTGATGCTGTAAGCTGTGGGCGTACAGTCACTGTCGATGTCAGGCAGCTTAGAGCCAGCCTTGGCCAGCCTGTCTGCAAGCTCGTTGCCTTTTACGTCGCAGTGGCCAGGACACCATTGAACAGTGACGTCCCGGATCTCTGCCGCAGTGTGGAACTTTAGGTAGGCCCACTGACAGGACACTGCGGCGTTGCCGCAGAGCCCCCAGATTGTTCCTGTATTATCCACGCATACCCAAATCCGGCGCTGGCTCAGCTCCGGAGGGGCCTTGATCACGTACTGGAGCCCTTTCCATGCTCCTACCACTTCTGCGTCGAATACGATAGAGCACGGGTGTAGGCGGCCCTTGTTTGAGGCGACTAAGTGCCCGCCCTGGTAGACCGCGTAGCAGTATCCTACGTATATATCCTCCTTGGATCTGTCTGAGAATACTACCACAGGTTGGAATCGCCTAGAAGGAGGGGAATGGGTGGGAGTTGGAGTGGATTGGACATCTTGAAAGTCGAAATCCAATGTGAATCTTGGCAAGACCAGTCGGAAATGCGTTGTAGATGTCGGAAGAAGGGAGGTGACGGAGAATGACGAGTGCGGAAGAGGGCAAGTAGCTAGAATCTTCGAATCGCAAGGGTGGCTCTCTCGTCAGAGCAGCTAGAACCCTTAGAATCGCGACGAGCAGCCTTTTGCCTACGCGATAAAGTACTGCGATAAGGAAAAACGAAGATGAAGGATGAGGATCTCACCAGATTCGGCATCAGACGAATGATGCGCGAAGCGCGAGGGGTCATAACCTGTTGGCAGTGTGGTGTTGCCGTGAACAATGTTGTTGTTGTTGTGCTACTGCTACAGCTGACAGCTACGCGGAAGGCCTGATCTAGCTACAGGGCACGGACCACGTGACCTCCAATACAAGGCGAACCAGAGTTTGTCATCCGGGCCAAACATTTGAACCAATGGAACGCCAATGCCACAACAGTATCCCGCGAGGGCGAGGCAGGCTATGATAACGCAATATAGGAGACGGCTGCATGACTACGCGAAACTTGGCGGGTGACAAGCTGCCCAGTGCCCCCTTGTTTGTGACTGCGACCTGCTTGCAACCAACAGACTACGGTCACCTTCGCCACAGAGCCCGTCAAGCTCAATCCGGTACGGCCCGATCGACATGCAGCGCCCAGCTCTGCATGCCGCCAGCAGCCTTTGGTCCACTCTTGCCATTGAAGAGATCGCCAGCCTTATATCGTGCCAGTAATCAATACCCCATATTCTCCCAGCCATCTCATTCCCCCCACACCCCCCCGCCTCTTTCGGCACACTCCTCGTGGTGAGCAGGGTAGATACTGTACCACCACAGGGCGCAAGCCTGTGACGAACCGCCATGGAAACGGATGTGGTAATCGCCTGACTCTCATGCATGCCACGCATGATAAGGCGTGGCGAGAGTATATGGAAATAGCAAGGAACCTAGAGCGACCCCTTAGACATGGTTGTAAGCAAAGCAGCAGGCTGTTACAGACTGGCTGGCCGTGGGTGCGCATGCTCGTCTACCCCAACCCCCACCAAATCCCAATAGGCGCCCGCTGCAACCCACCCCTGGCCGGCTTGACGTTGTCTCCCAGCCAACGGGAGACCATATCATACGACCGAGGACATGCAACAGCGACCGCAGACGAATCGCATTTCATTAGTTTTCAGCCCCCAAGCCTAAGCTCAGGAGACACCATGTCATATCGGCCGCGGTGGCACAGTAGGATCTCAATGGGCGCGGGAGCAAGCCCCTGGGGTGGGCATGTTCGACGACCCTACCCGTTTTATTGCATACCACGGAGTCCTCCTGCTTCTCCTCAGCTGTCGTTACTTCCACGGGGATCAACTGGCTGCGCAAAGCGGTGATTCTGTGCTGTACTCCACCCTCCTCAAGCGCACCGCTATTCTCGTACTACCTGGATCTCGACAATATCACCGAGCCGACTTGCACTGCTTCAAGATGTATGATCCGGATGTTATCCTTTACCTCTACCCGAATAAGGGTCAGGGCAGAGAGAGCGGGATCGACGCCATCAATATGCCTGCCAACCGCTCACTATACCTCCCTCCCCGACGGCACATTGATCCGCTCAAACTATCGCCCGAAACCGACAGTCGCTCTGTCAGGGAGGCAACGGAGCCTCCAGAAGAAGATGATGACCTCTCGCGCCTGCCCTGTGCAGCATTCAGATTCAGCAGGCCCCCCAAGACTCATCGCGGCTCGGTGTCAGGACGAAACCCGGACGCAGACTTTGTTTTGCCCTCCCTGAAAGGCGTCAGTTGGGAGCATTTCACGGTGACCTTCGACGAAAAGCACCACGTGATCATCAAGGATCTGCTCTCCACAGTTGGGACGCGGGTCATTTATGACGACGAGGAAGGCCAGCGAGGACGCGGTGTTGCCTGGAGTACCCGTGGCCCAGCCCTCGTGCAGGGCAAACTGCCCGTCCTCAAGGTCGTTGGAAACCTCCAGTTCAGGATGGTCGTGCCAGACCACGACATAAACTCCCAGACATACATCGACGACGTCAAGCGGTACCTCCAGGGGACGACGCCTGCCGAAGGCCTCCTCTCGGACCTCAAACTCATCAATCGCCCGCAAACCGAGCTTCCGACCCCCGGCGAGGCCCACACCCCATCTGCACAGGCTCCCGGGCCGATACTCTGGAAGAAGGAGCTGGGCAAAGGGAGCTTTGCGGTGGTAAGCTACGCCTGGGATGTGACTAGCAGAGCAGAATATGCCCTGAAGGAGCCCCTGCCGAGCAAACGGGTAGAATGGAAAAGAAAGGACTGGGAGAAGGAGGCCAGGATCATGGCGGGCATTTCTCATGTGAGTATTCCATTCCTGCAACATCCATTCTCTGGCTGCGCTGACTGATAGTTTTCTTTTCACCCAGGACCATATCCTCGCCTTGAGGCATGCGAAGCTCGACCCCCGGCCCGAGCTATACTTTGAGTACGTCCCGGGGGGCACTCTCGAAGACATTTTGTCTACGACGCGCTTCCAGAAGAAACAGGTCGCTATCCAGCTGCTTGACGGCCTCAAGTACCTCCACGGACAGCCGACGCCAATCGTCCATCGCGACGTCAAGCCGGAGAACGTGCTGGTCCAGCGCTGGGGCCCCGACGAAATCCACGTCAAGCTCGCCGACTTTGGTTTGTCAAAGCAGTCGGATGCCCTGAAAACCTTCTGTGGTACCGCACTCTACATCGCTCCAGAGGTTCTCTGCACGCAGACGCCCCTGAGCAAGAACTACACGAAGTACGATTCCATGGTCGACGTCTGGTCTCTCGGCGTGCTACTCGTCAAGCTGGTGTGCGGTCAGCTGCCCAGGTTCCTCCAGGCCTATGTGACGGCTGGGATGACCTGGGCAGGCGTGATGCAGCAGTTCGTGTCAAGGTACCTGCTGCACACCGAGGACAAGGACTCGCTGATTTATTTCGCCAACGAATATATGCTGGTGACTGACCCGAAGAAGCGGCAGTCAGCGGAGACGTGCCACGATAAGGCACTGCAGCTGTTTGGCCGTGGCGCTCCGGCCCAAGCTCCCGAGCCTTTGTCCCCCATCGCAGAGTGGAATCATTCCCAGAGCTCTTCGGCCGACGTCGAGGATAGCGACGAGAACAGCTATAAAGATAGCAACGAGGAGAGCGATAAAGATAGCGATAAGGAGAGCAATCCAGCTACACCCAAAGCTCGGCCGGCGAGTTTCACTACTGCTTCCGAAGACTCTCGGGCTAGCAAGGCGTCCACCATCCGTCTGAGCCCCGGGAACGGCGAAGAGGGCAGCCAGAACTGGGAGTCATCGGATTCGGGATTCTCAGTGCTGGGAAGCGTGAGCCTTATTCGTGACTTAGGCGAGAACGGCTCGGCTTTTATCGACACCTTGCTTGGCATCGAACCGCTGGACGTGGCATCGTCTGAGTGCTCGGATGCTCCAACTCCAGATACCCTCCCACATATCACTCTGGTCGACGGCGAGCTATGGGTCACAGGAGCAACCACTGGAACCCATGATTCGGTTGCAGCCTCGGAGCAGAGCAGGCAAGAGCAGTTGGTGCCTGGCCCAGTCTCTATTGGCTCGGAACTTGGCCGGGCTACCGAGACCCGCGTCGCGACGGCGGCGAGAGGAGAGGATGATTCAGCTGCCACATCTGCATTATCGCCATCCCGGCGCAAGAGGTCCTGGCCAGGAGGCAAACAAGGCTCCGTGACTTCGGGTGTCCCGTCTGAGCTCACCGATGGGGATCCAGAAGAGGGAGCTGGTAAACGCAGCAGGGTGCAGCTTGCAGAGACCTCAGCCTAGGATAGATGAGTTGTTGCATACCGGTTTGACACCAGATTCTTAGATATGTAGACACCGTGCATTATTTCGTATGTAGATTCATCGTTGCGTGGCGATGTGCTCTAGACGTTCGTGCCTTGTGGTCGTGTTGCGGCGGCGAGTCTGGCTCACAAATCTACACATGGGTCGTTCGGGTTCCCCAGGCTGAGGTCCCTATTTAGCGTGCAGGCAGCTGCACCTACAGTGGGTCGGCGAAAAAACCGAGCACCCTGCCCCAAACCCGGCGTTTTCTCGCGTTTCCTCCTTCATGCCACGACTAACACCACAACTTCAATCATGCCTCGAATATTCAAAAAGTCCTAAAAGATAGAAAGCACACAACACCTCGTCAGCGCAATCGGATTTATGGGAGATTAATGGGAGGTGGATCCTCTAGGTCTGTGGAGCTCAGTGAGGGAGTGTCAGAGTCGACCTGTCGCGGCATTAAGAAGCGCTTTACCCATCAGGATTACGGCGTTGTCATAATTAATAGGCTGATCGATTCGATGCCGAAGCGGATCGCGGCGGTCATTGAAGCGAAGGTGTAGTATACGAAGCAGTAAAAAAATATTTAATCATAAACTACATCTTCATGTACCTATATACCAATTTGCTAAGGATGCGACGCAAAATTGTAGTTATTATGACATCTGGGAGTAGGGCGGTCAATCGGGACCTATATATCGGGCGGGTGGGGTGTTCGGTATTTCTATCACCCCACTGTATAAGGGCTACAGTGGGTTCCAGCCGCAGTCTCCCCTCCTACAGCTGGATCCCTCAGTGACCCAGCCACCCGCCAAAAAAAAGATATTAAAACGTGCCCAGAGCCGCGCTTTCTTATGCATCCCCATCCGTCCCTCTCTGCCTCTGCCCACCTTCGCCTTCCCACCACCTTCACCTCCAACCTCCGCCAGCACACGAGGCTATGCTCCCCTGCTCATGTGCTCATCAGAACGCATGTCATTACACGAGGTTCCCACACCTGTGACTCTCTCAGCCCAAGAGCTGCTCGCCTTTGACGAGGACCAGCTAGTCCAGTTCTTGAACGACAACCGCAATCCGAGCGGCGGTTTCGATATCTCGCGAGTCGCGGGCGTGGATGGCTTCTCGGTAGGCGAACGCGAGCAGTTCAGCGAGAAGCTGAGGTAACTTCACCCACCCGCCTGTACATCTCTCTCGGTCCCACGAGACCCGGTCGCTGATCCTGCGTATCTGTAGCGCCGCCGCCACAAAAGCCGGCCCCCTCAATGCCAACGAACTCACGAGACTCCTGGGCTTGTTCACCGACCCCGACAGTAGTGCCGATACACCATCGGAGGCGCGGAACAGAGAGATCCGGTCTCCAACCTCCAGCCCACCCCCTGAGGGCAACAACCATCGGTTAGAGGCTTTTTGCCATGACGAGCTGGTAAAGGCTGGTGGCAGGCCGGTGGTGCCTCTCGAGTTTCTGCTTCATGCGGCCAAAGACGCAGGAGCCGACACGGAACAGTTCGAACCTTGGCTGGGCGACACCAACTCGGGCCATCGGGATGGCGATGTAGCACCGGTATTCTCAGCGCAGCTGGAGGATTGGCTGTCATTCCAGCACAAATGGCAGTGGGACAACCGCGACCAGACCATCAGGGGCGAGGGCGAGGGCTTCGCTGCTCACTTCGAGTCGCGAAAGAGGAGATATTTGCATCAAGGAGAAGTGGATGTGATTTCTGACCCCTTGTTGGAGGACACCGTGAGGCATGCATGGGAGTACGAAGACATGTTCCTAGAGGCGTCTGGAAAGGAGGGCTTTACTGCATACACACAGGCGGTAAGGCAACGCCTGGCATCTCATAGCTTCACGAAACCGGTCCAGCTTGCCAAGGATCCCCGCCAGCAGGACGTATGGACGACATGGGTGGAATATCTCAACTACATCTACTGGTGGCAAGACCACTATACTGCAGCAATGAAAAGATCGAGGCCGCAGTATCACAAGGTATGGGACGAACTACGGCGCTTCAATGCATCCCCATCGTCAACTGTATCGACAACAACTAGGACACTTAAAGAACTCGACGCAACTAGGGCCGAACTACAGGCGACAAGGCAGCAGATCCGCAACTTTATCGGGGGCACAAAGGCATTTCAACGGCAAGAGATAGCTGTACGCCGTCAAGAGCAGCGGGCAAAATGGGTCCTCGAGCAATTGGCCCTGGTTGAGACTACGGCAGCTCTGGAAATCGAAGCGGCTAAGAACGACCCGGCTGCAAGCGGCCCTAAGAAGAGGAAGCTAAGCAGCGATTGCGACAGCATCCCACCTCAGCCGGCCAAGAGAAGGAGGGAAAACGCTGATCAATGCGGCTGGGATCAGGATCTAGAGCAAGAAGTGGGAAATGGGCCCGATATGAAAAGACTAAATTAGACGTGGAGCAGAAAACTGTCTAGGAGTTTACGTGGATATTATTCTCAGCCGATACCAGGAGGAGCTTGCATATACGATTGATCGTAAAATGAACTGGTATACATTACCAGGAATATTTTAAAAAAGATTGTAGACCATTCGCCCTTCTCGACCCGCTTCTTTATAGACACCTTTCGGAGGCCCAAGTTAAGGCTTTATAACTAGCTGATCCACTTGAAAACATCGTCGTAAGGCGTTCGATGCACCTACGGTACTCTTAAGGATGATAGTTTAGTTTAGTTTAATCTATATAACGCCGTAGTGGCTCTAGGTTCCGGGTCCTTGTGGACATTTGGCGTGCAGGTGACTATCTTAGGGGCTACTATACAAGCCTTACTGTACGGGAAGCAGGGCATGTCTCCTTATTTCCCGCGATAACCTGCAAATCGAACCTCGAGGGCACACATATTATTCGGTCAGTTTCCGTTGGCCCCGCCATTTGGGCTCGTGCTCTGTGATATCTGGTTCGTAGTCGGTAGTCCGAATAGCGTCGAGGAGCGCCTCTCGCTTTGACATGGCAGTGCCTTGCGTCTAAAAGGCTGTAAGCTAGAAGGTAATTGAAACATAAGGAAAGATGGTAAGCATAGTAAAGATGTAGTAACAGGCGCATTAACGCCTGGTTGTCGATAAACTGATGTTCTGTGACTCTAAGACAGACTTTCGTGTAGAATTTTGTCCACTTGCAGAAGTCATTGAATTCCTTTGGGTGCGTTATCAGCCATTTCCAATAGGCTCTCCCTTCTGGTTCGGGTTCTCTGTTGTGTCCGCGGTTCCTTCGTGGCCACCTAGACCGTTTTGCGAGGGCTCTGTTGCAGAAGGCAAAGTGGGCTCGCGTTTTAATTCTCCCATAAGAGCAGTTGTAATGTTCTTCGTGCTTGAACCTGCTATGGTACCAGGTAATGTCTCCGTGGCCAGTTCTGGATGCGATAAGCCTATAGAGCGTTGGCCTGTCCAGCTTGAGCTCTGCTGGGCACTTGAGCGTGGTTTTCTAAAAGCCAAGACTTTTGTATTTGTCAGTGATGTTCTCGTCCCACCATTGCTGGTGTTCGCTTCAAATCTTTTTATTCAGAAGGCCTAAGACGCCCGCAAGCGTAGGTTTGGCCCCGGTAGGGATTGGCAAGGTAGTGCCTTCCTTTGTATTTACGTCGGCCTCTTCGTTGCCTTGGATGTCCATGTGCCCTGGCACCTACTAGACCTGTACGTTGGCATACGTGTCCGAGATTTTGTAAAATTGTAAGAAAGCTTCTTGGGAGCTCCGAGCTGGTTCCCCCGCAGCCCGGAGAACACTGCTGTATTATCCAGACATAGGTGGATGGGAGCGCCACTTATCATGAACGCTTTGGGCATACAGACTCGAATAATCATTGCAGTTGTGGTCAGAAGAAAACACCACAACATATTTTCTTTTATATGAGGCTGGGGAAAAATCGGCTGCTACCTAGGTACTTGCCTAGGACAGCTTGTTTACAATATTTAGGGGAGAGGAGCATAGAATGGACAAAATTCGTGGAGAAGAGCAAGTTCTTTTTAACAATCTGTCCCCAATAGATAGCTTTTCTTGAAGGACCAGATGAATGACCCCAAGGTCATACCGCCGCAACAACGGGGATGGGCCCGTGAGCGGGACTGACTGTACTTATTATCTTGAGACCTCCACAACCCTGCGATGCAGAGGCTCTGGGAGGCGTGGTTTGCACTACTGAGGAGCTACCCCCCACATTAAATACAAAACAAACAAACAAACAAACAATAAATATAGAGAGCCTATTTATATAATAACTGGACTATATATTCTGCCATCATAGCTTCATAGTCCTTGCACACAAGAGATGACCGCATCGTCACAGCCACGCACAACGAACGAACACCATTGCTCATCACAAAAATGGGTAAGCCAACCGGAAGCTCTCAAGCGCCGAATCTGGAAAACAGACATGGAATTTGACAACAAGACCCGCGGACTTCGATTCGCGATGATGGATCTATCTACTGCTAAGTTGTTCGTATTTATGGATGGACCATTCGCAAATAACAAGGACCAATCGTCACAGATCGGTTTTATTCCTCAATTTAAATACTTGTTGGGTACCTTCTAGAACCCTGCATAATGCCGTACTTATTGACATTTGCCCGGTTTTCGGGTTTAATAAAGGCGAAATCCTCATAGCGGTCATGAAAGCCATTGATGTTGTCGGGAGTGGCAGCATTGATACGCTTGTAGTCAAGTTTTCTTCCCATCTTGGTCTTGATCTCGGGGTGCCTCCGGATGACTTTTCGCATGTAATGACCCCCTAAGTGATCCGATTTTCCCTGGGATTTTAAGATCCAGAGTCGCATTGCTGTGAGTTGGCGCATGGCCTGCCTTCTCTTGATGGAGGATCTATGAAACCACCTTGGTTTCCTGCTCAGGGCTCAATTTCTGCTTAGTACGAGCGCCCTTACGATATGACTGCGTTTGGGTCATCGTGGTGCCTTCGAGCTTGCGAGAAAGGGTTGATTTCGGCACTCCATAGCGTTGGGAGGCCTTGCGAAGAGACAATTTGTCATCGTTCACAGCGGCAATTGCCTCGGCGAGGTCTTCGGAAGCGTGAAAAGGAGGCATTTCAACGTACTGAAGCCTATGATGCTTACAGAAAAAAAGAAGAAAAAGAAACGCAGAACTTCTGCTGGATTGGAGGGGATAGGGGCACGGGAGCCGGGACCCCTCAGTTCTAGGCCCGGGAGTGCTAACTTCCGACCCCCACCACGGCCCGTCCCGCTGCAGCGTACCTAATGAATTCTACACTGGAAGAATCACCAAGAAAAGACGATTCGAATGCATTATTTACAGTATTTACAGCTTCATTCTTGAAGGTGATATGGGTGGGTGCAAGTGTGGCCTTTTGGTATGGAAGCTGTCCCAATTTGGGGGCTGTCCCAACTTCATGCCCCCGCTGTTATAAGGCAGGCATCTACAATACAACAATGTCCACCCATATGTGTATTGGCCCTCAACACATCCTGATGGTCGTGCAGTATTCTGCCAATATATTCAGCCTCCTCTTGACTGAGGAGTGGTAGTGGTGCTATGACAGTTGTAGTAGGCTCTAAGACGTGCGCAATGGAGATAAAAGCTACGGCATGATTGAAGCTGATGCACGACTGATGCGTGGCTGATGCATAGCTGATGCCTCGGTTATCCCAATTGCGATGGGTGTCCACACGTAAGCATTCGCGTATGCCCTCGCTGAGCAGTCCGCTGCTATGATCTCAATCCGAGTCGCCTCTTAACTTGCTTTACTCATGGCCCGCCGGCGGCTGTAATAATAATGAGTCAGGAAGCAACCCAGCATGTCTGGTATTCAATCATTCTCGAACCGACATGGCCCATTACTCGAAATACCAGTCGGTGGCGACATTGCCAGAGAGGGCTCTGCTGTAGCGCCGACGTGACCTCCTCGGGGTTTCGCATTGCCGCAAATAAATTATTGGACTTTGACTCGCAGTATTTGTGAACGTGCCTTGTGGGTGGGGGGCTGTCTGAAGGATGCCACAGAGCCAGTGATTCACTTTGGTGTAGGAGTTCTGTCGCGACCATCATCCGCCTGAAAACGTTGTTGCGTAGCCTCTCGACCTATCCCCGACTAACGTTGGTCGGGTGTATGCCTTGGGCTTGCGGCCTCCTAGGCATTATGTCTTTCTACATACTCAATCATCGGGTTCACCCCACGCAGCCAACGGACGAATTTCCTTGACTGGATCTTGCCCACTTCCAGCGGGCTTCCTTCGCTGAGGTCAAACACTAGCTCCACAATATTGCTGACATCGCCCCCCAACTTGAGCGATATGATGCTATTGTTGTATGAACTGGCGAGGGGCATCCTCCAAAACCCGACTACATTAGCCGGCTCGATCATAGCCTTTACCGGAGAGCCCACCGTACCTATCGTTGTCTTGTCTTCGTTATAGAAGAGTTTTAGGCAGGCTTCTCCACTCGACTGTTTCCATAATACGCCACCATTACGATATAGCGATACTTCGAACTCATAAGCGCTTAGAAATGGCCTGATAGGCGATAGAATCGTTGCGTAATCTTTTCTTGGCTCGTTCTTCCTCGAGTGTCGGGAGCCTGGACTTTCTGGCCCCTTTCGTGAGCTCGATAGTCGCGGCAGAAGCTGCCACCGCGACTCTGCCTCGAGCATGCTCAACGGTGGGAATAGAGATGCTTCTTGCATAGGAATAGTCGGTGGGCATGGTCTGAGTGCTTGCATTGCAATATTGGGCTGCATCAGTATTTGTGGAGGTATCAGAATAGTGAGCACCAATAGGGATAATAACACCACTTGTATTATTAGAGGGCGTAATAGGCAATGCGTCGACAGCACCGACCTTGGCGATGTTTCGGGCAGATCTTGACTCAGAGTCGATTGTTCTGTGCAGGCAATTGCTTGCTTTAGGACCCCTAGGTCGGCCTGGTCCGCGCTTAAGGTTACTGGGCTGCGGGTTGGCATTGTTCTGAGCAAGATCCTGTTCAAATCTGGGATCAAAAACGAGCGGGCGGTCAGGAGGCCCTAAGCCAGGTTTGGAGTAAGGTCGGAGCTTTGTCTGGCGAGCACTTCTCCGCGGGCGTTGAGTTTTCATTTCGCTCTCGCGTTCCGGGTTTATAAATCGCCGTTTTTCACGCCTGCCGGCAGGAGCCTCGTCGGGCGTCGGTGCTTGAAGTATCACTTCAATCTGTGCTCGTTTGCGAGAGACAGCACTGTGGTTCTCACTACCTGGTGAACCCGAGTATCCCGATAAAGCAGCATTGTCCATTTGCAGTGCTTCACTTCAGACAGCAGAGCAACGCTCAAGGGATAGTTGATTGTGGGAAAGCAATTCTATCAAGAAGTCAAGGATCGGGGAGTATGTATGGCGTCAATACGTCGGGGTCAAAGAAGCCAGTGAGATATAGATGCATACAATGACTAGATGAGTATCCG